CAATCTGTCCTGTGAGTATCAAACTTTTCAAGCACTCTTTCCTCATTATATACCCTAGAAATGTCAACTATCTGTTTCTGATGTTAACTATAAGTGTCCATTTTGTTTCCATTTGCTCTAAAACTTCATCATTGCTCACATTTGATCTGTGGTATTGTAAGCATTCTTCTGTAGAACCATATTTCTGTTGCTTCAAGTTACTTCTTTGGCTATGAAGAAATTGCCCAGAATTCACTGCCATATAAGAGGACTGATATTATGTAACAGTTCAATACTCTTTTCTTTATTTCTAACAATTTTTTTCTTGTTTCTTAATACTTTGCTTAGCTTTTGAAAGGAAACTTTCACTATCCCAGTGCACCTTTGGAAATCAGTGTCACACTTTCTGTTCTCTGTGAAAACACTTCCTAGATGATTAAATTGTTATACTTGTTTAATTTGGGTATTTCCAATTTTTTCTGGTGGGGGTGGTCCCATCCCGTCCTCTCTTGGCCAGTGATCACTAGTTGCTTTGGTTCAAGATGGAAAAAAAAATTTCAACACAGTGAATTTTAACTTAACTATTTTATTAATCAAGACAATGTCTACTGGGGAGCCATTCCAGGCACAAAAGGAAACCTGTCTATATTGACAGTTAAGAAACAACTCCCTGAAAAACCTCTCTCTTCATGTTGACTCAGCCAATCAAAATCAACTTCCTTGTTTTGTCTTCCATCTGACCCCAAAGGTCAACCACAGGAAGTCTGAGCAGAGATACCATTCTCTTGAAAAATAAGTTTGCTAAACTATTATTTAACATTTGTAATTTGCATGTTTTGTTGTTCCACAGAATCTCTAGCAACAAAGAGGAGAATATTACTCTAAACAATGAAATAAAAATCTCAATATCTTATTGCGATTCATTTTTCAATTTTCCTATAATTAAAACAAAAGTTTTCTAAAGGTTCTTAAAAATGTTACTTTATCAACTTCAAGCAAGTACAGAAGTTCAAATATCTGAGAAGCAATATTAACAGAGGATGGAAAATGCAACATTGAAATCTAAATGCACATTAGTGAATGATGCATTCCAAAAGCTAAACAAAATACTAAGAAACTGTAAAATCTTGTTAGAGATAAATAAAAGAGTACTGAACTGTTATGTAATATCAATTCTCTTGTGTGGCAGTGAATGCTGGTCAATCTCTCCACAGATGATGAGAAAACTGGAGGCAACAGAAATGTAGTTCTGCTGAAGGATACTGAGAATTCAATGGACAGATCGAGTAAGCAATGTGGAAGACTTAAGGAAAATGGTAACTAAAAGAACACATACTCAGAATCAGAAAAAGAATTGAAATTTCTTGGACACATGATGAGGGAGGGCTTAGAGAACTTAACCCTCACTGAGCGTAATGGGAGCTAGGGATAAAAGGCACTTACCTGGCAAGTTTGTCTGAATGAATGGCAGAACGGGTGTAGGAGGTTTGGTAAAGGGACTAATGCTGCTAAGGGCTAAAAGGGAGAATGTGGAGAACCATGATCACTCCACATCCTGAAGAAGAGTTTTCATTTCATCTCAGGTTGTAACAATGTATTTATTTTTGGTAAATTTGAAGATTTGTTTTTTTTTTTTTTTTTCCTTATAGCAATTATGAAAATAAAAATAAGCAATGGGAGTGCAAATTCCTGAACAAGATCTTGAACATCATATGGAAAGGAGAAACTGCTTTTATCTTCATGTAGCTAACAAAAACAGACAAGGCAGATAGGTCAGCTTACAAGCCAGTCCTGGCGTCCTTGTGAAAATGATGTGAAATAATTTTAGTACATGAAACTCTCCCATGAGGGGTTTATTACCAACCAAAACACCTGGCTAAGTAGTGGGTAGGCACTAAAATAGGGTTCACTGTTCCTTTTTCTTGTCTTTGTCAGGTTACCATGGTGCCATTTCTTTTTTCTTTTTCAGCCCCTATCCTTTATTACCCTAACTTCTAACCTTCATGTTTTGACTCACCCAAACTGAGAGGCAGGTTTGGAGGATGGAGGTGCATGGAACACAGCAGTCATCTTCTAGCTTCAACATGCTTTCTGCCTCATTTCTTGTCCTATAACATTTTTTTTTATTTGGTTTACCTGTTGCCTGAAGTAGTGTTAAAGATACACACCCAGCATGTACACAGCTAATCCTGCCCACCTTCATATGCAGCTGAATACACACACACACACACACACACACACTGGTACATCATTTTATATATATATATATATATCACTAGCATCTTACATATATGGTTGTGCTTTAGTGTATTTAGTTTGTGTATAGTAATAATTAGATAAGGTGATTTCCGAGAATACACATTTGAGCAATTAACAGCATATACAGAGAAGCCAATTTTAGTAACATTAATATTTATTTCATATCATACATTATATATATATATATATATAAATAAATTGTGTATATTTAGTTAGCAATTTTTCATTAATGCATGTTTCATTAAATAATATATACAAGTTTTGTCTATTTATTTTAAGTAAGTTCCTTTCATATTGTCTGATAAGCTTAATAACATTATCATTGAAAGATGAAAGGAAATCACCATATTGTTACATGTTTAAATCCAATCTAAGCTTTCAGCTTACATAAGCCATTATCAAAGATGACAATTACTTTTCAATATATCAACCAATTCATGTACGGAACAATATTGATAGTCTGATTTTATTGCATGAAAAATTTCAAAGCAACGAATAACTCATGTATACGAGACATGGAAGTGAAAATCGCGTCGCAGCTTGTGATGTCACACATGACCATGCGAGAGTGAAAATGAGAAGTATTAAGTATGGGAAGCCGTTGATGTAAACTAATGGCTTCTGTTATCAATTATAGGCATTTAAGAATATTTGTAAGCCGAAAGCTTAGATTGGATTTAAACACGTATCAATATGGTGATTTCCTTTCATCTTTCAATGATAATGTTATTAAGCTTATCAGACAATATGAAAGGAACTTACGTAAAATAAATAGACAAAACTTTTCTTTATTATTTAATGAAACATGCATCTATATATATATATATATATATATATATATATATATGTGTGTGAGCATGTTTGAGTGTTTATGTGTGTGCATTTGCATGTTTATATGTACATATACACAGAAGTGCTTACAAGTTCTCAGCCTGGTCCACTTCCTAAAATATGGCCAAATTGTTTTATTTACACTATTTATATTCAGACTATTGTTCTCATAACTTTTTGACTATTGTGCCCTCTGACCTTTATTAGGTGTATATATTGATCTGGGTAACATATAGGGAATTCTGAACTAAATTGTTTATTTAATCTATGGCTATAGACTGTTTTCATTCCACTGCCCAAGCCTAGGGATATTGTCGAGTTCTTATTTTTAGTACTGCTCAGTTATTGTTTGCCTGTTTCCACCAAGTCCAAGTACACACTGCCCTGGGGATGGGCGGTGTGTACTTGGCAGATTTTTATTTTATTTTTCATTTATTTATTTTTAAGAATCCTGTCTTTTGTCAAGAAATTTTCAACATCTCTCCCCCCTCCCATAACATGAAACATTTTATACCCAATTTGATAAAACCACAATCTGATTACTTTTTTTTTTTTTTTTTTTTTAGGAGAGGTATCTTTTGTAATATATCTAAACATAGAAAAGTATTGTGTATACATATGTATCTATATACAGATAGAGGAAGAAAAACAATAGTGTATTAAGACTATGTTGATTGATTTTTGTTTTTTCTATTTTTATTAAGGTCTGAGTATATGATATATGCATTTGTTTTACAATGCATGTTTATATCTGGGTGGGTGCTGAAAAGTTCTTAGCACCAATCACTTACCAAAATCAAACAAAATAACCAAATGTTAATATCTTTCAGTTGAGGGTTGGCTTAAGAATTTTTCAGTACCTCCTTGAATTGGTTGCTGTTTCTGCATGTGAAAGATGTTTATGCTTAGAGGGACATAAAAGTATAAATTTTATGTCTATGAAATTCAGTATTGCTAAACAAACAAGTGTTTTTATACATGCACAGGCATACACATACACACACGTGTATGTTACGTTTTTGGGATCATTTTAAGCATGTTACATATATGTAATCTTTTTAATAAGATCTGAAAAATGTGGTTTTGTAGCATATTGAGTATAGTATTCTAAAATCAACAATAACCTACTTTTGATTGGGGAAAATATATATATATATATTCAAATGCTATTTTTAGTGGATACCAATATTTGACTAGACGGCTTATTTTTAAACAGTGTGTAATGGTACTTAATATCGGGAAGAGATAGTTGAAATTTCTAAGGCACATAATTAGGAAAGAGGGCTTAGAAAATTTGATACACACAGGACAGATTGAAGGTAAGAAGGGCAAAGGAAAACAGTGTATTACCTGCTTAGTGAGTTTGAATGGATGGCAGAACAAGGTTTAGAAGTGAGAAGAAAAAGACAATTTATTAAGAGCTGCAAAGGACAGAAAATTGTGGAGAGGCATAATTGCTAATATCCTGACACGTTGAAGAAGTATTATTACATATAACAGCCTGCACATTCAAGAAAACTTAAAGAAAAAAAGAAAAAAGTGTCCTCCAGTAGCGTTTGAACCTGCATCCTACTTTTGTAGGAAAAAACCATGTTTGATCCAATGTGCTTTAGGCCACTCAGCAATAGAAATATGAGCATTGAGTATATATTTCTGGATTGGTGTGTATGTCTGTCCACACATGCAAACACATCAGTGTCAGCAAGGTCATATTTATGGACAGTTAAGAATAAAACTCACTAACAACAGCTTACCTAATCTTTCTTTCATTCTTTCAGGTATTTTTTAATATCTTGCTTAATAAAATTTATTTTCTATTTTTTTTAAGGATAAAAACTAATTTCTTCCGCTTTCTGTTCTTCCTAGTTACTTAAAATAGCTTCTTTTTTTTTCTTTTTGATAGCATTTCTCTGCATCTCCTCTCTTTATAGTTTGCTATATGTTACTCACTATATCAGAAACCTACTTTTCTCTATTTCTTTCTCAATGGTCTCTGCATTCTCTTTCCATCAGTTTTTCTCTTTCTCAGCATCTTTTTCACTACTGATCACAGAGTCTCTCTTTCTCTATCATTCTTTCTAATTTTCTATCCTTTCACTTTTTGTTTCTTTCCTTTTCTATATAACTATATCTTTTCTTCTAACTTTTTCTTTATCTTTTTCCCTCTCCATATAACTATGTGTATTTCCTTTCCTCTCATAACTTCCTGATTGTTTATTTTTATATATCTCTATATTTTTTTTAATGTAGGAAGAACTTTAAATTCATATCTTACACTTTAAGCAACCCCACTTTCATTCACTCAATATCCCTGCCGGTCCCCAGGTAGTTCCATTACTTAAGTCATATAGCTATACCAGCTGTGAGGTAGTGAGCATACATGAATACCCCACCAATTCTTACCAACCTAATATAGATAGTTAAACTTTGTGATGAAAAAGGTTATGGAGGAGGAGGAGGAGGAGGCAGTACTACCATTACAACTACTACTGCTGCTGCTTTTGCTATCGGTAGTTTTACTATTGGTTAATCTTTCTATCCTCATCATTAGTGCTGTGTCGGCAGGGTTGTTAAGCAGAAATAGTTGTATTTTTTTTATTTCTCAATCAATTCGGAAAGAGCTGATAAAGAGGCCTTTTGACTGGACATCTTCCACATTTCCCTCCACAATTCAGTACAGTCTTAATAAAACACCAACTGCTGCTTTCTTTCATAACTGCATCTTTCACCTGTACCTTATGGAAATACAGCCCAAGAGAAGAGGGAGAAAAGGAAGGAGAAGCAAGTGAATTAACAGTGACTGTATGGTCTGAGCAATGACCCTTTTCCGTTGTAAGTTTTTCTTTTGTTGTCATTACTGCTGCCCAATTTCTGCTTTGTTGCTGCTTCCACATCTCAGCTGTGGAAACAAATCTCCAGCTGTATCAAATTGCTTTCCCGAGACAAAAAACCATGCCAGTTGGTCAAGTGAGCAACCTGCAAACGGCCCAAATCACTGTCAACCTCCCGGGGAATATATCCTGGGAGGAACATTTCGATAAGAATTTGAACTCGGGTCTTGAGAATGACTACACTGCACTCTCTTGCTTATATATACCTGCGGAATATTTGGATGGCAAGGGCCACATTACTTTGGCCCCCATGAGTGAAGATGGTCTCTTTTATTTTGAGGACAATGAACAGGACTTGCACGTTTCGACCTTTTCACTTTGCATGTCCCCTGCCAAATCGCCAACACCTTCTTCCTATTCAACTTGTTCGTCTGACTCTTTCACTTCATCAGCCTATTCTTCTTGCTCCTCGTTGTCGGACTATTCGTCTCGCAGTGCAATTTGCAACAACTTTCGATGTTGGGTCACTGATCCACCCAAGAAGAATCGAGATAGCCAGGATGAGATCAGTGAAGATGACGCTAACACCTCCCTGATGGAAGAAACTCCGCAGCTCATTCTCTCTTCCCATTGTGAAGTTAAGCCCAAAGTGTATCGCTCAGAGTTCAATGTATGTATTACACTACACAAACTTAGCATTTGTTTATATTTTTCTTTATTTCTAAATTGTCAATCTGCAAACCAACATTCTTGTATACATTCTGCCTGTTTTATTTTGAGTATTTTTTAGTCCAGATTAGATACTCTTCAAAAATTTTGTGTTTATATGTGAAAAAATTAAAAATATTTAAAATATTCTTTTTTTTTTTCTTAACATGGTTTTCTGAGCTCTGCACTTAAATAGTTTTTTTTTTTTTTAAACTCCAAAAATGAATCTTACTTTTGTTGATTGCTTTTTTTTTTTTTTGACAAACATCTGATTAAAATTGGTGAAGATATTTTTTTTTAAATAGTAGATTTATCTGTATGTTAATTATTATTTACTCATTATGCATCTTTTTTGTGTTTATTTCACTGTGGTGATATTTGCCTTGGTGTCACTCACGTTTTTGGGGGGGATACTCGGAAAAACGTTCTAAATTATTGATATCTTGTTTGTTCTTCATTTTTATACATTTGTATTAATAATTCACCATAATGTGAAACTAGTATTACAATAATTTTATATTTGGAATTTGTTAGTATGCTAATATGAAACAACATACACAGTAGTAGAAGGTAAAAACTGACATTTCTGTGAGTATTTATTTGTGTTTAAGTATAAGTTCCTTTCATATGGACTAAATAAGTTTATTCATACACACACACACACACACAATTGGGTGTATATGCCCATGTCATTGTGTAAGATTATGTTATATATAAACATTTAATTTTGTAGCTGAAGGATGAAATAATGCATTTATTTTATGACATATCTTCTTTGCGATTGCACTCAATTCAGTTATGAATATTAATCAAATATTGAACATTATACATTGAAAACTACAGACCAACATTCAACTTAAATGTATGCATCAGGCTGAGAATTTATGAATCCATTTTTGTGTAAGTGTAATGATATATAGGGTGGGGGCTGGAATGTTTTTGAACGAACACACTTCCCAAAATCTGACTAAATGATCAAGAACCAAAGTATTTTTTCTTATTTTATTTTTTTTTTAAATCTTCTTGGTTGGGCTGAGAACTTTTCAACACAAACGCAATATAAGCTCTTTACCCACTGTCGACTGACCTTCCCACATGGTCTGTCAAATATAGATAATAATGGGCCTTACCCTATCACATTGACTTATGACATATTTGTAAAGGAGTTAAAAGAAGAGTTGTCCTTCACCTGAACTGGTTTCCCTACCAAAAATAAAGAAACCATACTGTCTACTCTACTATTTTACCCATAGTTGGGTGATGTATTTATGACTTTCCCAAGGCCATTAGTGTTAAGTTAACACAACAGCTTTTGAATTCTATTTTCCTTATGCACAACCTGCACATTTCTGTGTGTATGTATATATATATATATATATATATATATATATATATATATATATTTTCTCTTTCCGCTCATTATTAATGTTTCTAATTCTTCCACACTCTGTAACCCTTTGTGTCTTAGTGGCTTTACTGCCTTGCATGGTAAAAGTACCTATATATATATATATATATATATATATATATATATTTTTAAGACTTTTTTTTATGTTTATACGTTCTTTTTATAGATACAAATATTTAAGTAAATGCTCTGTTTATAATAAACAGTATTAATAACGTTTACCAGCCTGAATGTCGGAAATTTTCATAGAAAATATGCGTCCTCCAACAGGAATCGAACCTGTATCCTATACAGAACTGTCATATAGCCTGATGTGGCTTAACCGATTGGGTCACAGAGGACTATTCAGTTAGCAAGGTCGATTTTACTGTTTTTAAACACAATTCTCCATGATTTTCTCTTATTCATTCATATTTGCTCAATGCATATCCAAATGTAAACAAATGGCGTCATACATTATGAAATGGACAAAGTCCGACAATTATTTTTTATTTTTTTTTTTTTATATATTTATACATTCTTTTTATAGATAACCATAAAAAAAATGTCTTAAAATAATTGTAGGACTTTATCCATTTCATAATATATATATATATTTAAAGATGTTTTTGTAGGTACAAAATTTAATGATCGAAATAAAAGTATAAAATTTAATATTACAAGACATTTTAAAACAATATTGAATAATAAAACAAAAAAAAAAAACACAAAGCTAAAACAGTTTGCTTCCCCCTCTTTTTTTTTTTTTTATTATTTAATATTGTTTTAATGTCTTGTAATATTAAATTTTATACTTTATTCATATATATATATATATATATATATATATATATATATATATATATATATATATATATATATATTTACAAAAACTTCCTGTTTAACAGAACATACAGAGAATGTCTATTGAAACTTTTAGTAAGTTTCTTCTGATTGCTTTATTTCTGGCAGAAATTTGTAAAGAAATTTGTCAAAATTATAAAGAGCTGAGTATTTTCAATAACACGTACACTATCAAATTTTATTATGTAAATCAATGTTTTCACAATAAAATTTTTATTTATCAACTGATGTCGTTAAAATTTCCAGGCTCTATTTATGAGCAATGAATTATGAGTTTCAGCCTTATTAATATCCCATATAGCTATATAAATTGATTTGCATAGTAAAACATGACAGCATGTAGTTAGATGCTTGTATAGGATTTAATATTGTGATCTTTGTTTTCATCATTTAGGATTTTGAATGGCATATTCTTAAAGTTCCATTTAATCTCATAACAGCATAACTCTATTACTTAATAATTATCATTCGTTTTCAAGGTACAAAATGTAAACAAGAATATAAAAACAAAGGACGAGGCAAGAGGAGAAAAAAAAGCAAAACAAAAAAAATCTCTTAAATGTAAACTAAAGCTTTGATACAAATGTCATGAACCTGTGTGTGTGTGTGTGTCAACTTTATAAATTGACTATAAATATAAAAATACATCACATCAATCCATTTACACTCTCTGTACTTAACAATTTGTGGAAGTAGCATGATTTTTTTTTTTGCGGGAGGGAGTTAGCTTTTCTGCTAAATCTAGACTTTAACCTAAATTAACATACTGGAATTTTAAGGGTCCATTATCTCATATACTAACATATATGTCTTTTAATGTTTTAAATGAAAACCTAATATAAATAGTAGTGGTAGCAAGCTCTTGATTGAACAGTTCAAGGGAAATGTGTAATTTTATAAGAAAGTGTAGTTGCATTAAAGTATTAAGCAAAATACATTCATTTGTATGCAAAGGTGTATTTGTCAAATCATGTTTGTATTTCTTTTTGATACATCACAACTTGGCTCATGAGATTTACATATCAATGTAAAATATTGTATGTTGTAGTGAGATATAATCTTTCTATATTAGGATATTTAAAACAAAAAACACTTTCTCCACCTGTGACAGAATACAAAACTCATACAACTAAAGATTTTTCAATATCTGTGCATTTTCAACTCTAGAATGGTTGTAAACCAGACCTATAGAAGTTAGTCTGTTCTGCTATTTAACCCATAGCTGGAGGAAGAAGAGGTGGATTCATGCCTTTTCCAAGGTATTTGCATGTAAGTGAATGTAATGAATTTGGCTGGATTTCAAATTCAGCCCTCTGATTTCTCATTACACCACCCACACATCCATATTGTGATATACATATATCCTAATGTAGAAGTTAAATTGGAAATGATAATTTAACAAAAAATTCAAAATTTCCATCTAGAATAAAGAAAACTAGTTGTGACATGAATCCACTTTTTAAGATACATTTAATCAAAATGTGGTCAAAATTGTCCCTTATACCTCTTAATATTTATTATTGTGACCATAGTGTGTGGGTGCGTGTATGTATGTGTGTGTGTGTGTGTGTATATATATATATATATATACACACACACACACACACACACACAAAGGGGTGGAAAAGTTCTCTGCATTATTAAGAAACTATTATCCCATTGATATTTAGATGTTTGGTCAGATTTTGATATGCATGATGGTCACTCTGCAAGTAATATCTTTTTCTTTGTTTTTTTTTTCTTCTTCACTCATGGAAACTACAGCAGATTCAGGAAATAAAATAACACCATTGGATAGAGCAATCTTTTACTGATGAAACACTATTTCTACAAATTGTCATTGCCATTGGTTATGCAATTTCACCATGCTTAGAACATGGCTTGTTGAATATATTTTTGTTGCCACAGATAAAATGCATCAAAATTGTATCTCTGCTTTGAATACATTTTCATGTCAGATGCCATTTTGTTAGATTGCCACTCAGCTGCTCTTTGTAATCGGGGGGGAATATGGGTTAATAATAGAAGGTTCCACCTCTAATGTCATAGGCCTATACAATAAAGATAGGAAGCATTACTTATAGAGCAACCCTCATATAATATACAATATGTGTTTTGTGTTTAAGAATATTTTTATTCCAATATGGTTGTCCTTACATGTATTTAATTTTATTTTTTTTAATTCCCCCCCTCCCCCATTCTTCTGAAGCATTAAAGATTTTCAGCATAAAGATTTTCTTCATGATATACTCTCACTCTCTTGGGAAAGAACTTATAAACTATCCAATCTTCTCTTTTCCCTTGAGTTAGCTAAACTGTTCAAATCACAAATGAAAACTTAGACTTTTGATTAGGTAGAGATAAAAAAAAAAAGTTTTATTTATTTTTTCTTAGTCCTCACGTCAAGCATAATGTTTATTTTTTTCGTAAGTGTCTCTCTAAAATGACAGCAGGATAAAAATGTGATGGTTGTTGGTAATGGCTCTATAGTTTCTACTATTTATAAACTTTACATGACATATTTATAAATATTTACCCAAACATTTCCAGTAGCTCTTGTTTAAATCATCCATTTTATAATCTATTATTTTTTTTTATTTAGAAAGAATTCATTGTTTGTGGAGTTCTGTATTTCATCTATTTATGTATGTTTCTACTACTTCATTCTGCTGTGATTTGAATGTGTTTATCAATAAAAACCCATAAGTATACAAGTAAAAGATTCAGGTAAAATGACTGTAACATTGTACATACATACATACATACATGGTTCTCAAAGTAAGTTATTTAGGTTGAACTGTTAATGCCATATAATTTATATATACTATAAA